ACATTATAAATGCCAAATGCGTGACAGGATATTTCAAATAAAACTAACATGATATGAATCATTCATTTACATGTGATATCAACCTATACGAGAATTAATTGTCATGAAACTATAGGATGTCATAAAATATCAAATTCATTCATAAACCAACTAAATCTTACTATAGTGATATTACTATTCTCAATGTTAGGGGAAAAAAAACTTGTTCATAAACTATATCTGAGATATTGGAAGCAATTAAACATATTGTAGTAGATTTAGTCGGCACATGTCTATTGAAATTCACAATTATTAACCCCTTCAAGACCTTAATAAGTAATTCAATTTATAATTGAATAAAAATAAAATGTGTGTAATTGTGTCCCATGAAAATGAGCTAATCTCTATTTAAAACAACTAGAGCGGCCTACTCCTCTTTAAAAAGGGTTCCAAACGGAAAAACTCGTTCATTAGTATCCTTATCCTTGATTCTCTCTACTATGGCATTTTCCGCATTTTCTTGACTTGCAAACATCAAGCCAACTCTCACGCTGTCGCCTCCTTCACCAAATTCAGAAAAAAGGGCAAAATAGTGGGAAGATGGGATGCGAAATTTTAAAGTCTCGCCTTGACAACTTAAAGGGGACAGGGAAGTGGATACACTACGGGAGTCTGACTGTAGATATAGTGTGTCTGGTGTTGGATCACTTAGATTTGATATCTGACCAGAACTAAAAGCGTAAATTAGCACAATATATATTCATATTTCAAAAGGAAGAGCACCAACTATAAACAATTAAAGCCGATTGAATCATCAAGAGAAAAAAAAAGAAAACTAACTTGAAAGAAAAACTAAATTAAAGCCGATTCATATTTCTGGGCGATTTTTTTGTTTTTTTCCGTAACTTGAAAGAAAACTAACCTCACGATGTCGCCTCCTTCACCAAATTCAAGAAAATCAAGCTCTTTAATTACCAGAATATCTGGCTTGGATAAGAACCGATCCAGGTAGTTAATGGCAAGGTATGGTATGAAAGGGTTAAGGTTGCAAGAATATTGTGCCTGATAAATTACGCAAGAAGAGAGAAATTAACTGAAGAAACGAGAGTTTTCTGTGAAGACAATTGTAACAAGAAGAGTAGGCAAGGATAACCCATGGCAGCCCCCGTGGCATCATCCCAATGGCATCAAGGGGCTTGAGTGAGAAGCCTAACCGGAGGGGTATGCCATAACTTCAGCAACTATCATCATAGCTATAGTCTGGGGCAGGATTTAACACTCATTACTACCAAAGCTAATGAGAGGACAGTCTGATTAGTGAGAGCTTATGCTTCAGACGATGGATCAACTTTCCGGGACACACTAAAAGTACAGCCGCGCGGCTATTTTTTTTAATTTTTAAAAATGTATGCAGGAATTTTTACAGCCGATCGGCCATACACGGGTCTTTTATATATTTTTTTTAATCAATGGTATCGCCGCACGGCTATACTGCGGTGTTTTTAAAGTAATAGTATAGCCGCGCGGCTATACCGGGGTCCTTTTTAAATTTTAGTAGTATAGCCGCTCGGCGATACTGGTTTTTTTTTTGGTTATCTTTTTTAATAAATGTAAAAAAGAATTTTAAAACAAAAACCCAGTATAGCCCTCTTTTATATCTGAAGGAGGGAACAACATTGGGAAGATTGGATGCGAGTTCATTCAGTCTAGAGCCTTCAGAACTTCAAGGAGACAGGGAATCCAGACCCAACTGTTTCTCCTAGTGTGGAAGTACAGATGAGAGAAAAGGTAAGAGGCATAGACCTGTACAAGATGAGGAAAGGAAGAGCAGAAGGGGTGATAAGAAGGAGAAGTCAAAGGACAAGAAAAGGTCACATAAGCACTCGAAACACCATTCATTTGAAATTATTATGAACAATTTCGAATAAAGGTATATCAATTCCATATGAGCATGAGGCTCGTACTTCATCATTTGAAATTATATGACTTTTTGGGTTTAGATTTTGTTATCAGTTTGAACAATGTGAAAACTGTTGTATCAGTATATATTCTTCACTAGTTTAGGATGCTAGTATCAATATCTTATTTTCTCCATCATATGATTACAAAGTTGATCAGTGATTGAAAGTGCCTACCTTTGTCATGAAAAACAGGTGAAGCGAATGGCCCTTTATAGTATTAGTTTAGCAGTCAAAGAAATACGTGAGCTTACATGTGCGATGTAAGTGCCACTTCTGGGAAAGACAATATTTATCTCCTCCATGCTTCCTCATGTGGCACCCGAGCATCTTTTCAGAACAAGAGAAAAGAAATGGAGACTCTTCATTGAGTACATGTCAAGATGTTGCATGACAGTTGGGAATTCAAATGATTGCCGAGTATATATCCACTGCATGTTTGTAAATGCTGCATTGCCATCAACATTGACTCTATGACTCATTGACTCTTTGAAAGTTTTGCTACCAAAACAGGAGGAGGCACAAGTGGATACAAAGGCTTGGGGAAAGAGACATCCTTCCATGCTTGTCCATTTCATCTAGCAGGAAACGCATATATAGAATCTGTATTGGGGAAGACGGAGGCCAACTCTAACAATTGTCCGCTTCTGGACAGCTGTGTTTCTCCAGGCTTGTAACAACGGCATTTGCAACTTTCCTAAAACCTCTCAATGTTGCAAATATCAAGCCAATTAAATTAGCACTATATATATATATATATATATATATATATATATGCAATTGTCAAAGTTATTCATGCGGGACTTTCTTATATATAGATGTTGAACAGTAATTTATCAAAGAATGTGAAGTAATGCAGTCACTTAAAAGATGTATTATTTCAAACTTGAATAATATGTCTTTTTTATTTTAATTTCTATCTAATAATACAAAATCCAATAAATTTTTCAACACGTAATTGTTATTGCACTTCCATTCTTACATCTCGGTACCCGTTTGGCATTGCTTATTTGAGGTTATAAGTGATTATTTTGAAATTTTTGAAAGCCCAATCTGTTTGGTAAAAGATAATAAAATCACTTATTTTGAATAATTGTTGTGAGAGAGAAATTAGGGAAAGCAGGTGATGAGCTGCTTTCAATTTTTTGATTATGCAGGAATCAGTTTTGAAGAGGCACTGGGTTTAATGAAACTTTCAAAATTCCAAAAATAACCCCATGTTTTTTTTACCGACCGCACTTCTAACAAAAAGTTTAACAAACGCCAAATTGTTTTCTTTCACAGCTAATTTCTCTCACAACAAATCTAACAGTGATCATTTTTACAGCACAGCAACACGATGACTTTTAATATTATGCTAGCTATCCCTTAAAAAGGAGAATTTACCTTAAAATAAATTATTCCTTTTTGCTCCCTTATACAATACAGATATTTATAATTTCCTTTTATATAAATTATTCTAGCTATTTTATATGGGTGGAGTAATGGAAATTATAGAACTACCCTTAAAATCCCTAGAAATCCTCCTCTTATATTTCATTTCTTTGGGTGATGGTCTTTTCCTTTCTCACTCTCAGACCCGCCGCTCGTTCAAATTTTCTCTCATCGGCACATGTACTTGTCTCATTATCAAACCAATTACTCTCTCATTCTCAAATTTTCTTTCCGTACGATCACTCTCACATTCTTGATTTTAGCCCAAACTCAGAGGTAAGAAACTTAACTCGAGCAACATATGTAATTATAACAGTTGAATATTATAATGACTGATTCGATTCGATTAGATTAGATTTATTGATGGTTATTGATATGCATAAATTCTAGTATGTATATGAGAAAAAGTTCCTTGATTTGAGCTACATATATTTTTTTTCTTTCAATTTTTTTGGTAAGAAGTCTCCTGTCATTTTTGTTCGAATATTGATTCGCATATATTTGAACTTTGAGCTATATAAATTACTAATCCATATCTATACATTCAAATAAGCATGATGATGTCCATATATATAGTATCCTTCTGTTGAGGGATCCTTCAAATAATTTTATTTGGGGGTCCTATACGAATTTTTTTTCAAACGATCTAAATCATCTTTTTTTTTTAAGTCTATATTTATAGATCATCCTTGGAAAAAATTAGATAAATCGAAAACCATTTCGATATTCAATTGTGTCATACAAAATCAATGAACAGGTGCTTTAAGAAAATACTAAAATTTCAATAACTCAATTGAGTGGTCAAATGATATCAGATTCAAGTGATTATTTTGTAAAGATGACCTTGGAATGATCTAAAAAATAGATAGTTTGGATTAATGAAATAAAATGCGGAGTGAGCCCTACAATAGTGTCCCTCAAATAAGCTTATTTGAGGGATCCCTCAATGGAAGCTCTCTGTATATATATATACAGTCCCATTCTATTGAGGGACACTCTTTAGGGTCCTCTATGAATTTTTTTCAACGATCCAAACCATCTATTTGTTAAATCTATATTCATAGATCATCCTTGCAAGAAATTAGACAAATCAGAAACCGTTTCGACATCCAATTGTGTCCTACAAAATCAATGAACACGATGCTTCAAGAAAGAACTAAAATTTCAATAACTTAATTGAGTGATCAAATTATATTCAAGTGAATTTTTTTAGAGATGATCTTTGAATGATTATCTAAAGATCAATGGTTTGGATTAGTGAAATACAATGCAGAGTGGGCCCTACAACAGTGTCCATCAAATAAGCTTATTTGAGGGATCCTTTAATAGAAACTCTTTGTGTATATATATACTTAAATGAATTCTTGAATTCTTGTTCAGATGTTTATGTAACTTTTTAAACTTATAGATTTCAAATTCTATTTGGTCGATCATTTGAGAGTAGTGGTTTGTAAGGCAGCCTCTCTTGTTATTAAATGGACATGTTTCCCTCATGTAAGGATTTGTAACTTTAGGGGTTGCTTTTGTCACTCTTTAAAAGACATATCATATGTAACGCTTGTTAAGAACAATCCTAATTGTAGACCACAATCAATGAATAATTAATATTTTGTGGTGCGCATACACAACATGCAGATGGACGTGAGCTGCTACCAAAGAAGACCAAAAGAACCAAAGCTTCTGTTTCCCATGATCATTGAGATTCTGAGCTGGCTACCGGTGGAGTCATTGCTCAGATTCAAATCTGTCAACAAAAACTGGTCTTCGTCGATGGAAGAATACAGCTTCATTTCAAAGCATATGAATCGGACAAGACCTGTACGACTAAAATATCGATTGACAAAGCAACCTGGCTACATAGCCCTTGGTTCCGAGGAAAATTACGAGTGCATGTTCATTGTTGCTGGCTTGGTTCTAGAGAAGCATTCTTCCAGCCAAGTTTGCCGCATCAGAAATCCAGCCACCCACCAAGTGCTTTACTTGCCTGATGCCCATGTTGGTGTCAACCTAATGGTATCCACTTTTAATTCATCGATTGGTGAGGTCAAATTGGTAGCTTCCTACCGTGAAAACAATGAGGTAGGGTTTGAAGTTTTGACAGTTGGCAAAGATGAGAATTGGAGACCTTTGAAATACCCTAATCAGGGTTTGTCAAATAAACAGGCCAAAAGAAGACAGTTTCTTCTAGCTGATAAGGCTGATGCTAGGGTTTGCTATTGTGCTGAAACCCTAACTGATGGACAAGACATGTACTTAGAAGTTCACTGTCTTGATCTCTGGAGTGAGACATTCATGACAGCCACTCTGCCCGGGGGAGTTTTTTCTGATTTGAGCAAAGCTCGGATTATCAGTTGGAACCAAAGTATAGCTGTGGTTGATATAATTGATGAAGCTCTTCATGCCTTGGTGTTAGAAGACTTCAAGGAGCAAAAATGGAGCCGATACAAGAACATTGTTCCAGTGAAGTTTTTGAAGAAAACCCGATTTCCGGAAGGTGGATCTATTGTTCCTTCCAGTGTTGATTCTGATGAGCTCAGGTTTGTTTATAATAATGGGGAGATAGTTCTTGTGTACGATATGAAAATGCACAAAGTTAAGAGTTTCATACGTCGAAGGTTTGATGGGGAAGGTTGGGGAAATCATAGGCCAAGCTTGATGAGTTTCGAGGGAATGAGGCCAGAAGAGGAGGGTGCAAGTACAAGTACAACCCAGGAATGAAGATATTATAATCAGAGCAATTATAGTTTCATTGATCAGCATTTTAATTTTTCTATAGCTAGCTAAGCTAGTACTTATCTTAAAAGAATGTTTTTATGTTAGTTTAATTGAACCACATTTTTGACTCGGTTTGTCATGTGGAAACTCCTCGAACTATATAATGAGTTATGAGCTGATCATCATTTATCTATTATGAAAACTATTATTATACAAATGACTTTTTTAGTTGTTTGAAACATTGCCATATCTTGGTTTTCAAGCTTCTCACTCAGACCCTAGTCTTTTCATCAAGAAAACAACAACTGATTTGGTTATTTTGTTGTTGTATGTGGATGATATATTATCATCACAGGCTCCAATGCTATTTTAATTCAGACTGTTATTTATTCTCTTGCTGAAGTCTTTGATATGAAAGATATTGGTAAACTCACTTACTTTCTTGGCCTCCAAGTACAATACCAAGACAATGGGGCCCTGTTTGTGCATCAATCTACATATGCTCAAGATCTGATCAAGAGAGCTGGGATGGACACTTGCAAACCTTGTTCTACACCATGTAAGCCTCATCAACAACTTCTACATACTGATGGAGTTCCTTTATCTTATCCTACATTGTATAGAAACTTGGTTGGTGCTCTACGGTACTTGACTTTTACAAGGCCAGATATTGCCTATGCTGTCAACACTGTGTGCCAATTCATGACTCAACCTACTGATCTTCATATGTGTCATGTTAAACGCATCCTTACCTATTCCCAGGGTTCAATGGTTGTTATAGGTTTTTGTGAAGCAGATTGGGCCGGTGATCCTAACACTCGAAGATCTACCACAGGTTATGTTGTCTTTCTTGGGCACAATCCTATATCATGGTCTTCCAAGAAACAGGCCTCAGTTTCTCGTAGTTCTACTGAAGCAGAATACAAAGCCTGAGCTCACTGTGCAGCTGACATTTTTTGGATCAGACAGTTATTACGTGATCTGCATATCTCTATTCTAGAAGCTCCAATTCTACATAGCGATAATCTCTCTACCTTAGCTCTCAGTACCAACCCAGTTCTCCATTCCCGTATCAAACATCTGGAGACAGATTATCATTTTATTCGAGAGAAAGTTCAAAGCAAAGATCTCGTCATTCAATATGTGCCAACTGATGAACAAGTTGCTGACATTCTCACAAAAGGCTTGCACAGTCCTCTCTTTCACAATCATTGTTCCAATCTCAGATTAGGACCTTCCCCACCTGAGATCGAGGGGGGATGAAGACAGGTGTCCATTGCAAAGATCTAGAGGTTTCCTATTCTTTCTTTGCTTACTTTCTTCTTCATTCTTGCAATGGTTATCATGGTTATCATATCATTCTAAAAAGACAGGAAATTTATAAACGATGGGAGAAAAAAAAGAAGAAAAAAAAAAACATAGTTTCTCATTACTTAACATAGAAGAAGAGTCCGCCAAGTGGGATGAAAATCCATGCTCATTGGAGATGAGCCCTCATTTAGTGTCAGGGCAAAAGTAGTGGGCAAAACATTGGGTATGGCAACCGCGGACAGGTGACTTTGGCCAAGATCAGTGACAGTTGATTTTACCTAAACAAATGAAAGAAAACCAAGGTCAAGATACAGAAGTTCTATAATTATATAATTCTGTACATAAAATTGATTCAGATTACCTCCAAAATGAGAAAGAACATTTTTTTGGACAAGCATGGATAGTCAATAACCTCTATAGCTGTAGCCACAAAAATTTAATCGAAGGTTAATAATAACAACTATGCAATGTGTAAAATGACGACACATTTCAATCATAAATTAGAGGGTACCAGTACCCAACAACATCACTTGAAGATCTAAAATAAAATACCTGGGCTCTTTGCAGCATTGAGAGATATTGCTCCCGGAGAGTGCATCTTGTGTTACAGATAAATTTTTGGCTCAGCAGAAGAAGTTGGAAGTGGATTTGATGTTGCTTGTGAAGGCTAAATACAGAAGGTTAGAGCAATCTTAGAAGAAACCGGAAAGACTAAACAAAATCTTGTTTAAAAATAGAAAAAGAAAATCAGCTAGTATGGCTGATGAGCAGGAAACCTTGGTTAATGAGGACCAATACGAAAAGAATTTCAGTTTACCAGAGCATATCTTACTTGCAAACTGTTCCCAGTCGATAGAGACAAAGACAAACAGCCATTCACAAACACGATCAATGAAAAGGGTTTTAATAACTGGATTTGGACCAAAATAAGTAAGTGTAGACACCGAGCAGGACATTGGGGACAAATACTTAGGAAAAATAAATTTTTGTCACCATAACATATCTTACTTCCAAATTGTTTTCAATTGGTTGAGGCAAAGGAACATTTTCCTGTGGTTCACAAACATGATCAACGAAAAGAGTCTTAATGACTGGATTTAGACGAGGGTCTTTCACTACAAGAAAACTAAGTATTTACTGTGCACTATTTACAGCGTGCACGTGTTGCGCGCCTTTAAAGGTTAGTTTTATGGTGTGGATTCAATGCACACCGTAAATGGATCTTTGCCTTCGTTTATTACGGGGTGCTTTAGGTGCACGCCATGCTTTTTTGTTAATAATGGCGTGCTAGTCACGTGCACCGTAAACTATATTACCGTTAATGGCGTACTTTGTTTGCACACCATGAAATTTCCCCCCCCCCCCCCCCCCCCCCCCCTTTTTTTTGGCTCGCCGCTCTTTCTTTTCACCAAATTTAAGTTTGGTGCGTGATATTCCTTCCAAACCCCTCATACTCCCTCTCATCTCTTCTCAGACTTCGTCTCTCTCTCTCCCTCTCTCTTTCTCTCTCTCTCTCCCTAAATCCCACAGCAACCATCCCTCTGTTCTTGAATTTCTTTTCATATGTATTATTTAAAGAGTATAGCCGTCACCTCAAGAGGCATATTGATCCCAAGGGTTATTTCAGGAGTATAGCCGATCGGCTATACTATTTATATAATAAAATAAAACAAAAAGGATCCGCCTAGCCCGCCTAGGCGGCTCATTTTTGGATATTTTAACCGTATAGCCGCTCGGCTATACTCTTTAAATATTAATACATTCGAATATTTTAAGGGTATAGCCGATCGGCTATACGCTTTGAATACATTCGAAACAAACACGAAGCATACACTCGCATAGGACGGAGCTTGCAGACGCAGTCAAGTTTTGGCTGCTTCGTCCTCCTTGTTCGGCAACGAAAAATGACCCAACCCGCCTAGGAGGCCCGCCCCGCCGCCTAGCGCCCGCCTAGCCGCCTAGCCGTCCGCCTAGCCCCATTTTTTGAACACTGCGATTGACTGGAAGTCTGAAACCCGAAATTGAAAAAGTTTACCTGCAAATTTGAGCTTGAGATTGAGATTTGGAAGCCGAAGCAAGCACAAGTCATGGGAACCCTAAATACAAAATTTGCTGACTTAGGGATTATTTCCTGTCTTGTGAGTTTTGCTACCATAATTGGAATTATTTTCTGTTTAGTTTCTCTTCCTGTTGATTTGAATGGTCTGATTATGAATTTGCTACAATGTTATGAATGCGGGGTCGAAACTTGGCTCCTTTACTTGATAGTATTTTCTAATTTTCATGCCATATCTGGATTGTGGATTTCATATCAGTCAATATTAAAGATCTGGGAATGGGCTTGCAGTTGCATTATAATCTGTTGTTTTTCTGGGCTGATGAGAACACTCAGACTAATGGAGGAAATGAACTTATTTTTCCAGTTTATCCAGTCCTTCCATGCAGAGATACAATGCAGCGCTCAAGAACAAATTCCTATGATCTTCTTGCCCAGCTTCCTTCTTCTCTGTCCTTAGACTCTGGGTACCTATATATCCTATTCATTTTCGCATTTTTTGTTTACTCATTCAATCATAATTACCAACTACCACACATATCTTGACAAAAGTAATTAATTAGTGTTTTTATATCATTAACCATGGGTGCTTATGAGCAGGATTTATGCACATCCATTAATATCAAACCAGCCCATTTGGTTGAACTCATCTTCTAACAGAGATTCAAGTGCCATGGCAGTGAGCTCAAGTTATTCCCATTTTTCCTAGCTAGTTCCAAAAGAAAGTCCTTTTCTGAACATACAATTAAATGTAACTATATATTTCTACTTACATTTTGCAGGAAAGAGATGAGACCAGAGTTTTGGTTCCAAGTGCAGAGGGTTGATTGAGCTGTTTGTCTCCAAAGATGTATGATGTTTTATGATGCTTCACTCAAACCTTGCTTTAATTTCTTATGTTAGATTTGAAATTTTATTTTGGTCGCATCTCTCACAATTTTTTTTTTTTTTTTTGGTAACTGTCAAATTCACAGGTCTCTGATGACCAACAATTGATTGATATATCACAGCCCAATGCAACATTTAACTGGGGCAAGACACCCTGCTTGGTGTCGACTGCAATACAAGCTTCCCTGTCAATATAAATGACATGAGCACTGAAATACAGCCACAGCCCTTTCCAGGCAATGAGAATGAAGGAAATGATCATCTAAACAGTAATCATTTCCAGCAGCCGCCTGTTGTTTCCCCAGTGGATCATGATTCAAATGTGCCATACAACATATCAGTTGATCGAATCCTTCTCTGCAGCACGTCTCCAATGAATGTCCTGCTACATGTCACTTGCAACTCAGAGAACAGCATGAAGAATGTCCTTGTTCTTGTGAGAATTGATAATGCCCTTTTATTTGATAGAGGTCATATGTTGAGCTCAACACGAATGACCGTTAAAAATTTCATCTTTTATATATGGTTTTGCATTTATAGTTGATGTCTTGTATGATTCTTAATTGTAGATAAAGGATGGGATTCATTGCTTAGTACCAACAGATGGCAAGACCCTCGAGGTCGATGATAAGACCAATGATTTTTTTGAATTTGTATCTTAGTATTTTTCTGATGTGAAAATATAGTGGCCAATAGTACTATAGAATGTTATGTAATAATATTTCTTCAATTCTTATACAAGTTGTTGTACGAGGATCATTGGCAAATATATCAATCATATTGTGAGTTTGACGGGATACTGTTGGACTACTCACGGCAACGTGCCACGCCTGAAACCTTGGAAATTGGCAGAGGTGGGGTTGGCCCATTCGTAACTAGTGTCTTGTGGGGGGAAGGGATTGGGTGAATGTAGTGCTTTCTAATTAATGTTGTCTATGCCACAATGCGGGCTGCATCCCTCAAAAAGAGTGGCAGTATTCCGTTTCTGAAAAATATTTGTGGCATATATAATTCTTTTGATATTTGCAGTTGTGGTAGTTTTGAAGACCTTTACAACAGCTGAAACTATGTTGAATGTTCGAACCCTTAGGGAATGGATTTCATCTTCTCTCGGGTCAGTGCACTGCTAGCACTTCTTCAGGTTATTAACACGTTGCTTCAGTTCAGGACTTGCTTAATAATCTTTGGGTTAATTTAAAGTTTAAACAAATGTGAATGAGCTTGGGAGTGGGCGGAATGAATCATATTTGGAATAGCTTAGTAATTTTATAATTGAATAATTTAGTCCTCAAGATGGTATGACGGAGTGAAGGTTTATTATGTCTTTGTAGTTAATCATTGATTTTGTCATATAAAATTTAGTCCTCTTTCTCATGATTGAGTGTAACAATTTCAGGCCTGATGCAGTTGCAAAGCATATGGAATGGTAGCAGTCAGCACTAATCTTACAGTATGGCAATTTCCTTTGTTCTCTTGCCTTTAGTTGATTAAACATTCAGATTATCACTAAATTTAACTAACAATTTTTCATTATCCGTTGGTGATTATGAATTTATGTGCTTTTTTCTTTTCGATTTCGAAGGTGATGCTATTTATTGAGTTCATCAGGACGAAAGTCCTAAAGATATCCTTGTTATTTCTATTTCATATTGAGTTGATGGTGATGCTATTTGATGTTTAACTCAAGTAAATATGCATTTCATGAACCCTCATAGGGTTCCTCCTACTTGTAGATTGCCACTAATAATGGATACCCTCCGATTTCTTATATTTATTTGCAGATCAGATCATGTATTGTTTATCTTTAATTTTTGTTAGAGATTCAATCCCACTAGAGCCCAAACTTATAACTAGTGATCCCGATCAATTGTCCCGACCCTTTTCTTCTTTGTCAAAGAGAGATTTGTGAGTTTTGGCTCAAGTGACAAGGTTGAAATGTGATCAAGATCATCTGGACTCAATCTCTACCCATCATAATTGTGTAATAATCCTGTCAATATATTCATACAAAAAAGTGGGTCTTGGTGAGAGGTGGCAAAGTGAAATAAAAGTTGCACTCCATCCTCAACAGAGTTTGGGGTATGGATCTTAGATTTTAAGTGCACACCATTCTTGACAGAGTTGATATGTTAGGATATTGAGCTTAGATTTAAGTTTTAATTCTCAAGTTTTTGGCCATGTTCCAAAACCAGATAGTGAACCTAAAACTTAGATGAGAAACGGGTGTACATCGAAATTTACACTGGTCGCAATTGGCCAACGACACTGATTGGCAATGGCAGCTAGGCACATCCGTTCCATAAAAAAGAATGAATCTGGTGCAGGAAAAAATTTTAATTTTAATTTTAAAACAAATAACTAAATAATGGTATAGCCGAACGGCTATACTGTTTAAATATATTATCTAAGGACTTTTTGAATATATCATTTAAATAGTATAGCCGGGTGGCTATACTATTTATTTATATAAAAAAAGGACCCGCCTAGCCCGCCTTGGCGGCCCATTTTTGGAAAACTTGAATGGCGTAGTTTTTTCTTTCAGATTTCCTTCTTCCTGGCGGGTCTGGCATCTCTGCAAATACATCAATCTGGGGTTTTAGCGAAAGAGTGAGAATGGGAGCTGTACAAAGGAGTTTTGGCATTATCCATACCTTTGTTTCCTCGATTGAATTTCTTAGTTCCCGCAAGCTTATTGTCCCTTCTGTTGATTTTTCAGGTTATAGGGTTCCATTCACTGCACCAGAAGTAAGGTTATGCATCCCAGATGCGACTTCCTTTTGCATTTTCAGATTCACTAGTTTCCCCCTACTCTCCTCTAGTTCAGTCATGCTGTCATCCAGCTCACCTGTCACCCATAACAGAAAATTTACATATTCAACACAAAATCAAAAGGTGGCATCACCAAACAGTGGTAAACTTTCAGACTTACCTCTCTGTCAGAAATTGAGCAAAGTTCCTAAATCTATAGGTCTTAAATATGATGCTGAATCTTTACATGTACTGCCACGAGCCTTAGCTCAAGTGACATGGGTTGGATGGGCTGAACTGTAGATCCTAGGTTCAAATTTTCTTCTAATACGAAAAAATGAAAAACAAAAACAAAAACTACATAAGTGCCGTCAGTAATCAAGTGTAGGATTAAACATTCCTACTAAATATGCAAATAAAAAACCAAGGCTTGTGACTATAACCATCTCAGAAACCTGTAATGCGGCTAATTTCAGACTGATCTGTTGACTGGCTGCTAAGGTAAGTCCGAATTACATCAGCATACTCTTTCTGCTTCACGTGAAGAATATCAATCGCTTCCCGCAGATTTTTAACCTCCCTCTCCATCATATCATCAATCTTAGGTAACTGGATGATAGCATCTGAGAATCACAAGAAAAACAAAGAACCTATAATCAGTACATAATTCCTCATGCACTTACTCCTTCAAAAATAAGTGTTAAAAAATGAAAAAGTTATTGTATGAAATTAGTTTGTACAACAATGAATTTACAATTGAACCTCTGACCTTCAGAAGATATCTTTCCATCCAAAGTGTGGACCATGCTCTCTGTTTTTTCCCTATGAGAATAAATGGTATGTTCCAAGAGTTTTAACAACTCCCTAGTAGACGTATGACGCAAAGTGAGAGCTTCTTCAACATATTTAGCAATTTCATCATTGCCATTAGCTTCTATAGAATCTCTTTGTAGGAGACACAAAGAAACATCTCCCCCGCAGAACATGATGGAATTGAACCTGAAAAACACACTGGTCAAACTAATCCATATGATGTGAAGAATAAAATAAAATGAACACTAAGATTTTGATTTAGTCATCAGAAAAAATTAGGAAAAAAAAAGATGAAGTAGCATAAAACAACACATGTGCTGTAAAATACCACGAGAATAATCAGTGCCATCTAAAATTTGTAAAGCATTTTGGCTTCCTCCAGCACATAGTCCAAGAAGAATTAAATCATCAACCAACTGGTCAGCAAAATAAAGAAATCACCATCAGAAAAAATTACATGTCATCCTGGTGGACACAATTGAGACCATGAAAAGGAAGAAAACCCAACCAAACATTCAAGATAAACTGATTCCATATTTGATTCACTGTGATTAGCATTTCATCATAAGACCCTTGCTTATCCTTTAGTTCCTTAATTTTGGCTTCAAGAGCCTGCAAATCATGCTTCTGTTTGTCTATTTGCTGAAGAAGTCTCTGGTTCTGGTACTGGAGAACTGCTGCATCGACCTGGGCACCTATAGTACGTACACAAAATACCGATACATTTCAATCTACTTCCTATCTCAAATCAAAATTGAAGTGTACTTGAAATGCATTGAACTATCAATGTGCACTCATCTAAATGCATGCTTTTTTATGAAAAAGCATACTAACTTCACAAGTGACTTCATCAACTTAGAGATTAATGATGCTTTCCTGGCCCAATTACACAATTAATAAACAGAAACCCTCTAACCTACACCCTATACTCCAAAAATTCCAATTCTGTAACTTATATCCCTTTTCTTACACTTCCTCAACAACCAAACAGAGCATAGTGCAATTTTTCAAATTCTCAAAAGCACATCCAAAGCAGAAATTGCCCAAACTCCAATCACCCATCAATCACAGTAATTTTAAATAAATAAAAAAACACCTTTTTTTTTCTTAAACCAAAAAATTTGATCAAAAGCATTTTTCCATCAGTAACCAAGCAGACTGTAAATATATATATATATATATAGAGAGAGAGAGAGAGAGAGAGAGAGAGAGGGATTACGCTATGGTTATTGGGTGGAGAAGTGGTGGAGCTACGAGCCATGGTGGGCGAAAGTGAGTTTAAATAAGGCCTCTTCTTCTCTTGCTCGCCAGAGTCTGAGTTTACCATTTATCGTTGTTATGGTGCTCTTTACGGAACCCACCGCACCATTACACCTCTCAGGTTCCGAGCTCTTTCTGTCAAAAGAAAAAACCCTACAAGGACTGATAGCGTTTCCGCAGGCACGACTGGGAGTGGGAGAGAGAGATCGCTGTCGACACGACTTCGTTGAGAGATCACAAGGAATTCATTTACTATCGTCAAAATGAAATGTATAATAAATTTCAGCCCAAAATCAAGTTTTATGTCAAGGGTATAGCCGGCGGCTATCCTATTTTTATAATAAAACTCTAGTATAGCCGTTCGGCTATACATTTTTATAATAAAAATCCGCGTATAGCTGCTCGGCTATACTATTTATAATTAAAAAAAGACCACCGCCTGGCTTCTAGCGCTACTTCGCCACGTGTCAAAAAATCCAAATACAGCCGAACGGCTAAAAATAAGACCACCGCCTGGCGACTTGCGCCTGTTCCACATGTAGAAAAGGTATAGCTGCGCGGCGATACTGTTTTTTACTATGCTATATATTATTTAAAGAGTATAGCCGCAAGGCTATACCGTTTTTTATTTTATTTTTATTTTTAAAAAAGGTCCCGCCTAGGAGGCCGATTTTTGGAAAACTTGAATGGTGTTTTTTTAATTTAGATTTCTTGTTTCCTGGCGGGTCTCACTCTCTATTTTCTGTACACAAATCTATTGAGGGTTTAGACAGGATGGGAATGGATTTAATAGAAACTGGAAATCCA